GCCCAGGATCTCCTTGATGGTCCCTGCAGCAGGAACATGCAGCTTGTCAGTGCTTTAGCACAGGGAAACATCTGAGGAACTTACTTGAAACACCCTGGGCTAGTGGAAGGTGTCCCTGCCTGTGGCAGGGGGTGGAATAAGATGAGCTTTAAGGTCCCTTCCAACCCAGACCAGTCTGTGATTCTGTAACACAGAGAACTCCTCACACCCCTCAGCTGTTCCTCCCTCTGGGGGTTTGCAGGCTGGAGCTCACCAGGAGACACCAAGTCATTTATCCAGCTCTCATGTCCTGGTTTCCCAGGGAATGCACCAGGAAGTGCTACCTGTACCTGTCCCCTCCCCAGGGGCTGGGGCTCCCAGCCAGCACAGGCTGTCCCTGTGGTGCTCAGCACACAGGGCTGTGGGCTCTCCCAGAACTGGAGCAGAACCCGGCCCAGACACCTGGAGCAGGCAGAGGGAGCACTCCAAACACCTGGAGCAGGCAGAGGGAGCTCTCCCTGTCTCCCAGTCCCAGGACTCACCCGAGAGCTCCCGAGCCAGGGAGCGGTGGCGCATCTGCCGCGCGATGTTCACGATCTCGTCGAAGGTGACGCTCCCGCTGTGCTTGACTGTGAGGGGACAGCAGCAGTGAGGACACCTGGGCACAGGCACTGCCAGCAACCCCTGCAGCCTCAGCAGCACCACTCCCAGTGCCCTGACCCCATGGAAAGCTGGGAGCTCCCAGCTCCAGTGGGGCTGCCATCAGCGCTCCTGCTCCCAGACTGTGATGCGAAGTTACCCACAACAACTCTTTCCTAACGTGGCATTTTCTGCCAGCTCCTTTCTGGTTGTACCAGGCTCCACAGGACACACACAGGACAGGTACAGGTACCTGTCTTACCCTGGTTTTGCCCATAGAAGCTGTGGCTGCCCCTGGATGTGTCCAAGGCCAGGTTGGACGGGGCTTGGAGCAACCTGGGCTAGTGGAAGGTGTCCCTGCCCATGGCAGGGGGTGGAACTGGATGGGCTTTAAGGTCCCTCCCAACCCAGACCAGTCTGGGATTCCAAGATTCTGTGATCTTCTGAAAAGCAGAATCCTGCCTGCTCAGGATACAGCCCTGTGGCACCTGTTTGCCAGTTTGCACTGACTAATCCCAAAGGAAGGTACTGGTGTTCCTCCCTTTTACCCCCAAAACATTCAGAACCAAAGCCAGGGGAGCACTTACTGTTCTTCTGCTTCTTCCTGTCACGAGGGGGCTCCTTCAGAGCTTTGATAATCAGAGCAGAGGCAGAAGGAACAACCTCTATCTAAATGGAAAGAGATTAATTCCCCCCCCATTCTACACAGAATTTCAACACTAATGAAAATAATCAATCAAGCAGTCATTTAGCTCAGCAAAACTAACTGCCAGAGCAGCGTGGGTTGGATTAGTTCCCTCACACACCAGATTTTCTGGGATGCAGGCACCTGTTCCCAGGTTTTCGGCACAGGCCTCCCCACATCCAGGGGAGAACTGCTTCCTGCCTGGGGCTTCCTCTCAGCTCACCACTGGAATGTACCAGCCACGGAGATCAGGACAGGCACGGTGGCAGGTGGCTACTGGGTTAGTTATTTCCATTTTACCTCCCACATATCCCAATTATTTATTTTCCATTCCATGAGGTTTATTTATTTTTATGTTGCTCGAAATAAGTTTTTTTGCCGGTTCTGTTGAAGGAACAATTTATCTGTGCAGGAAGCAACAGCAGCATGAAAATAACAGCAGGATAAAAATTGAACTTTGGCACATGAGGGTCTCTTCCCATGGAGAGGATCCTCCAGCCTGGCTCCACACACCCCCCACCCATGTTATAAGGTCTTCCCAGAAGACCCCCACACACCCCTGTGTGGCACTCATTTTATCCACCTCGGAAGGATGAAGGGCTGAGTGGACCCTGCCGGGATCTGGGCCGGTGGCTGGAGCAGGGGGGGCCCGGGGGGGGCTCCACACCCGCAGCACACGCGGCCCCTCCGCTGGCGTGAGGTACCTGCGCTTGCCTGTTCTGGATCGTGAGCTTCACCGTGATCCGCAGCCCCTTCCAGTCGCCCGTGGCCTTGGCGATGTCATCGCCCACCTTCTTGGGGGACTGAGGGGCAACACGGGGCCGTCACACAAAGCTCGGCTTAAACCAGAGAGCCCCAGGGCCGTCCCAGACATGTCCCAGACATGTCCCGGCTCCTCGGCTCTGCTGTGAGGTCGCTGAACACCCTCTTTTCTCCTGGACCGCCCCCAGCACTGCTCGGGACATGCTTCCCACCTTCCCCTCCCAGGAATACACTTATTTCCCCCCTGGACACGTTTCCTAGAGCCTCATCCCACGGCCCTTTCCAAGACCACGCTGATTTCCCCTCTGGACACGCTTCCCAGCCCCTCATCCCCCAGGAACACTTATTTCCCCTCTGGATACACTGCCCAGCCCCCTCCATCCCCGGGGACACATTTCCCACTCTCCCCATGGCCACTTTTCTCCCCTCTCCCCCCAACACCCGCCAGGACAAGTTTATCCCTCCAGCAACACGCTTCCCACCGCCCACTCCCGGATACGCTTCCCTCCCCCCGGGGACACGTTTATCCCCCCTGGACACGCTTCCCACCGTCCCCCCGCCCTCCGAACACGTTTCCCACCCCTCGATCCCCCGTCCCTGGTACGTACCAGCCCCAGGGGTCCGATCTTGGGGGCGAGCGCGGAGGTGGCTCCGACTTCCCCTCCGGTGCAGCGCAGATACACTGCGGGGACAGCGCCGCGTCAGCCGCGCCCGCGGGCCCCGCCACCGCCCCGGCCGCCTCCCGAACCCCCCCGCCCGGCTCGTACCGACTTTGATCTCGTTGGGGTCGAACTTGGGCGGCATCGCGGCGCCGGGTGGGAAGGGATGGAGGCGGATGGAGGGCGATGTATAAAGCCGGGCCTGGTGGGGCGATGAAAGAAGGCGTGAGGTGCGCGAGCCGAATATATACCCGCTAAGATCTCGCGAGAGGTTCGGAGCGCGTGTATAACTGCCGAGATCTCGCGAGAGCTGGAGTTTGTACGGCTCTGGATAGTTAGAAATATATATATAGAGAGAGACAGAAATAGATATAAATAGAGATATAGGGAGATATGGGTAGAGGTATAGAAAGATATAAATATAGAGACAGAAATAGAGCTAGAAATAGATATGGATCTATAGAGATATATATACAGAGATATAGAGATGTATAAATATAGAGAAAGAAATAGATAAATATAAATAGATATGGATAGATATGGATATATAGAGATATATAGAGATTTAGATAGAGATATACAGATATATAAATATAGAGACAGAAACATAGAGATAGATATAAATATACTGAGAGATAGAGAGATAGAGGTTTAGATAGAAATAGAGAGAGATATGGGTAGATATATATATAGACATATGGATAAAGATATATAGAGATAGGTAGGTTAGATAGATGGATAGATAGATGATATATAGGTAGATAAATGGATTGATAGATGATGTATAGGTAGATGGATGGGCCAAGACTAATTGTATGAGGGTCAATAAGGCCAAGTGCCAGGTCCTGCACTTGGGTCACAACAATCCCACACAAGGCTCCAGTCCTGGGGAAGAGTGGCTGGAAATCTGCTCACTGGGAAAGGCCCTGGGGGTGCTGGTTGACAGCTCCTGAACCCAGGTGTGCCCAGGTGGGCAAAAAGGCCAATGGTCCCTGTCCTGTACCAGCCATGGTCCAGCAGCAGGGCCAGGGCAGGGACTGTCCCCCTGTGCTGGGCACTGGTGGGGCCCCCCTCCAATCCTGGGGGCAGTTCTGGACCCCTCATCATTGCAAAATGTGGAATATATAAAAACTGTCTTAAGAAAGGCTGTTCTTTGATGTTTGATCTTTGTAGTTTTCAATCCTAATCAACCAGAAGGGAGATTTTAATTTCTGAAACAGCAGCTCAACAAGCTCTAAGTGATGTCCAGGTGTTAGAAAAGCAAGTTATTTGCTAGTAGAATTGCTCTGTTGAGGTTTAGGGCTGGACATGCTTCAGCGATCTCAGAGCCAGGGGGAGGTGAAAGCTCGGGGAGAAGGATGTACCACTGATAGCAGGCAAAAAGAATGCAGGATTTACAGGCCACAAGGACTCGTGGTAGAACTCCCAAGATAAGGAAGAAACTAATAAAGCCAACTGAGCAACTGCACTGAAATCAGATCCAACAGGGACAGATCCCGACCAGCCATCGAAGAAACCCCCTGATCCTAAAGAAGAGAAACCTTGAGCAGGGGACTAATCAGCACGAGAAGTGAGAGAATAATTAACCAACAGAAGAGAGAATACTCATTAATTAAAGAACTATGTAACTTGTAGCTAATGAACACTAATTCCTTTGTTTGCTAAAATGTATAAATAGTAAAAAGTTTTGGTAGTCCGCTGTGCTGGCACTGCTGGGGCACCTCGAGTCCTGTGCCCAATTTTAGGCCACTCAGTTCTGGAAAGACCTTGAGGGGCTGGAGCGTGTCCAGGGAAGGGAACGGAGCTGGGGAAGGGGTTGGAGCAGCAGGAGCAGCTGAGGGAGCTGGGGGGGCTCAGCCTGGAGAAAAGGAGGCTCAGGGGGGACCTTCTGGCTCTGCAACCCCCTGACAGGAGGGGGGAGCCGGGGAGGTGTGTCGGGCTCTGCTCCCAGGGAACAAGGGACAGGATGAGAGAAAATGGCCTGAAGCTCTGCCAGGGGAAGGTCAGGAGGAATTTCCTCATGGAAAGGGTGGTCAGGCCTTGCAAGGGGCTGCCCAGGGAGGTGGTGGAGTCTCCACCCCTGCAGGTGTCCAAGGAACGACTGGACCTGGCACTCAGTGCTCTGGGCCGGGTGACAAGGTGGGGATCGGGCACAGGTTGGACTCGATGATCTTGGAGACCTTTTCCAACCCCAAATAATTCCGGGATCTTGTGACAGGGCGGGGCGGTCCTCCGGCCTGCTGGGGGCGCGCGAGAGCCGGAGGCCGAGCTCTGTGGTCTGGGCGAGGCGCTCAGGCCGCGCGTCTCGGTGCCCGCGGGCGGGTGATCATGTGACCCGGCGGTGTCTCAAGATGGCGGCGGCGAGCGGTGAGTGGGACTGAAGGGGGGAGACCCGGGCGGGGTCCCCGGGACGGGATCCCCAGGGCGGCCCCGGGCTGGCCCCGGGCTCCCGGGGGGGCAAGCACGGGCACCGCAGCTCGGTGGCGCTCCTCGGGAGCTCCTCCGGGTCGTGCCCGGAGCCGCGCGGTGTTTGCCCTCGCTCACTGTCGCACCTCTCCCCAGGTGTCGGGCCGCTGCCCGAGGGCCACGAACCCAAATCCCGGCAGGGCCCACTCAGCCCTTCGTCTTTCCGAGGTTCTGGGCCCTCGGGCACAGAACGGCGCCGTTGTGTCTGATAAAAGGGTGAAGAAGACGAGGAGGACCACGGGTAGCCCCTGGAAGCGCTGTGAGCCTGGGAGGGGAACCCTGCGGGGACTCCTAAAGAGGAGAAGAAGAATAGTAATAATGTGGGAAAGGAAGGACTGGTGAAGACGAGAGATTCGTTTCAGGGAGGCCCCTGGCAGGGTCAGGCCGTGGCAGGGGTGGCACAGGTGTGGTGGCAGCCCCAGCACAAAGAACAAACACTCCTGTGCTGCAGGACAGGGAGTTAAAAGCTGCAGTTACCCCCCTTTGCCTGTTCCAGGCTCTGCAGGGCTGGCTCCTGTCACTGCTGGATGCTTGATAACCTCCCTGTCAGGGAGCCAGGCCAGCCTGGAGGTGTCTGGTGACAGCTCTGTCCCCATGGCCAGGCAGCACCTGCAGGAGCCTCCCAGATCCAGGCCCTGCCTCACTGCTCTGCTCCTGACTGTGTTTTCCAGACTAAATAAAGCATCTCTTCCTTCCACACCCCCATCTTGTCTGCTGCAGTGCTGTGCTGCGTTTATGGTGTCCAGAATGTTTTAAAAATTGGGGTTTGTTCTTACAGAGCCATTTTGCTGCTTTGTTTTGATGACAGTTGTTTGTAAAATTAGGGGTTTGGTTTTCCCTTGTTGCCATCGCCCAAACAGCTGCAGAGATTGGGGAACACCCAGTGGACATTCCTGAGCCCTTGCTCACCCTGTGATTGTGTGTGGCTGCACAGACCAGTCCTGGCTCCTATGGGGATGCAGGATTTGGTGTCCCTGGGTGCTGCCTGCCTGTCCCAGGCACTTACAGACAGTTCTTTCAGGAGCTTAATAAATAAAAACTACATCATGTGCCAAAAGTCCTCCTTGTTCGTGCTGTTGAGTGGGTGCTGCTCTCACTCAGGATTGGTGCTGGGCAGCTGAGCACACACAGGCACTGTCACTGCTGGCACAGCTTTGCTCTCTGCAGGTTTGACTTGTGTTTTTTAAGGCAGGTTTTGACATTTAAAAGCTGCTCAATCCATTTCACAAGTCTCTGATGCTTCATCTTTTGACCCCTGATAGGATTCTTTTCCTGTTCAGTGTCTGCCCTTCAGCCTTCGTGTCTTTATGAAGGTGAAAACTCGTGATTTGCCACTATCCCCATGACTGACAATGTCTGTCTGGAACAGAGGAAGGTGAGGTGGGACAAAGGGATGCAGAAATGCTCAGCAAAGAGGTGAACATATTCAGCAAGGTCAGGAATATCTTGCTGCAGGCACCTTGTCCTTCTGCTTTTCATCTTTAAATATTTTGTGGCAGGTTTTGACATTTAAAAGCTGCTCAGTCAATTTAACAGTCTCTGATCCTTCATCTTTTGACCCCTGATAGGATTCTTTTCCTGTTCAGTGTCTTCATGCCTTTATCTGTTTTCTTGGGTAGAAACTGATGATTTCCCACTATCCCCATGACTAATAATGTCTGTCTGGAACACAGAAAGGTGAGGTGGGACAAGGGGATGCAGAAATCCTCAGTGAAGACTTGAACACGTTTAGTAAAGTCAGGGATTTCTTGCTGAAGGCACTTTATCCTTCTGCTTTTCATCTTTAAACCTCCTGTTGTTTCTGTCTGTGGTGTCTGACCTGTGGCCCTTCATTGCTGTCCTGTAGCTCCTGACAATCAACTTCCCCTCCTGCTCAACCCTCTGAATTTTGGCTCTTCCCTCCCCTCCTGAGAGGAGCTGAGTCTGAGGAGCATTTCAACAGCCTGAAGTGGTTCAAAAGGCAGGAACTGAGATGGCAGGGGAAGAGCCGTGGAACTGCTGGAGTGTGATTCCAGCACACAGACCGAGTTTGTTTGTAGCCACTTTGTGCTGTGGCTCTTGGCTTGTTCCAGTGAGAGCTGTGACAGCAGGACAGTGACTCAGGATGGCTTTGCCTCCTTCTCTCTGGAGTGAAACCTGGATGAATGGACTGAAGGGATGTTTTACCTTTACACAAAGGATTTATCTCCATAAAGCTCTGGGCAGTTTTTGGCAGAGCTCTCCCTGCACAAGGAGCATTCCTGGCTGGATGCTGTGGGTACCTGCTTTGCAGTGGAGTTTGGGACCAGTTTGCAGGCACAGAGCTGGCACAGAACCAGCTTTTTATGTGCAACAGGAGCTCACTGTGCCAGTTAGTGCTGAACTGAGGAAGGAGCGACTCTTTTATATGATTAGATGATTTATATGATTATTAACAGTGTTTAAAAAAGTCATTGCAAAGTGAAACTTGAGTGCAGAGTTCCCAGTGTGTGTCTCAGTGAGGGCTTTGGGCAGCTGGAGCCCTGCCTGGACTCCCCCCTTTGCCAGGCAGAGCTGGGCAGGGCTCCTTGGGCTCCTCCAGCAATCCAAGGCTTCTCACCCACACCCTGCAGGTCTCCAACCTCACTGTTGCCCTTCTGCTCTTCTCTCATCCCAGCCTTGTCTCCACACCAGGTCCATCCCAGCTGTGTCAGGTCCCCTGTTCTCCTGCAGCCCCAGCTCAGGCTCTTTCTGCATTGCCCATTTTTCTCCCCCTGCTCTGGTGCAGCCTCAGATAAACCCCTTTTTATCTTTGATTTTATTCCTCACCTCTTTTCCCAGCATCCCAGCTGGTGCCATCTCATTCCCAGCTGGTCTCCCTATTCCTTGTCCAGCCCTTCCCTCAAAATCTGCCAACAATTCCTTTTTTCTCCCGTGCTGGGTCAGTCCTGTCCCAGAGCTGCCTGGGCTCTGTTCCCCTTCACCCACCTGCACTCCCAGTTCCACCAGGGCCCTTCCTGGACCCACTCTCCTCTCTCAGCTTCAGCTTCTCCTCCCTTTACCCTTGAACCAGCTGGAGCCTTTGCTCCCAGCCCTGGATTCTGGCTTGAGGATGGAGGAATCTGCCCTGGACACATCCATCCTGGGAGAAGCTCTGCAGTGCCCGGGGGGGCAGCTGTGGTCAGCTCTGGTTTGTAGTCAGAATTTTGCTGAAGTTGGGTTCTTTCAGCTCTGCAGGCAGTTGTCAGACTATTGGAAATGGATTTGGCTTTATAAACCTATTAAAAATTTGACTTTAAGCTCTTGGGTGTTAAAGGCAGAACCTTTTCATCTCTCTGTGTGACTAAAATTGGGAGAGTGTTCCTGGGTGATTCTGCTGCTGCCTAGAAAGCAAATGAGCCAAGCTTTTGTTAACTTGAGGCAGTTCCTAAAGCTGAGAAGCAAAGTCCAGCTTGGGCATCCCAATTCTGCTCCCCTGATGTCCTGGGAAGTGGCTGGGATGGGCTGTGACGTGTCAGGGGAGGCTCTGCTGGACCCAGCACTCAGCAAGTCCCTGTATTTTGAACTGCATCAGGGTCTTGTTTATTCTCAGCTGCTCTGGAAGGGGAAGGCAGCTCTGTTGCTCTCAGGTTTTTCACATTTTTAGCCTAACTTTATGCTAGAAAATTTTATAGTTCCTTATTATTGTGCTAGAATTGATTCTGAGTTCAAATAGGGTTTTTTTTTGCTACAGTTACATCTGGAGTGGCCCCTGCATTTCCCTGATCCCTCAGTAGCCTTTCTCTGTACCTGTTCCAGCTTGACTCAGTGGATATTGCCCAGGGATGACCCAGACAATCAGCAGCAGTGCTTTGGTGGCTCGTGTGAACACTTCCCTGTGGAGGAGCCTGTTGGATCCAGCCGGAGAAGGGCTAAAACAGGGACGATTCCCGAGACACTGATTCTTTTCTTTTCTCTCGTTTTCCCCCCTTGTCAGAGCCCAGCTGTGCAGCCCAGGCTCCCCAGCACACACAGACTGCAGGAGTGCTGAGCCTGTCTCTGCCCTGATCCTGTCCCGGGGCAGAGCCACAGCCGGAGCCGAGGATGCCGCTCTTCTCCCGCAGGAAGAAACCCAGCGACGACGCCCGGAAGCGCCTTGAGTACCAACTGTGCCTGGTGAGCAGTGCCAGAGTCACTTCTGTGCCCTGTGGCTGGGCCTGGGTGCCAGGGGGCTTGGCATGTCCCCTGTGTTACCAGGAATTGTGTTCCTGATCTCACCCACACAGTTTTCCTTCTCACCAAGGTCCTCTTCCTAATGTACCTCAGGGAATTCCTGCCTTCCTGTCTCCCTTTGCCCTCCCATTTCCATGGGACATCTTCCCCCCCGCCACCTCCTGCCAGCCCACAGATGGGACCCCCAGCACTCCTCCATACCCCTTTGTCCTCACAGATATCCCAGTTTGCTTTTCTTTCCAGGGAACCTGTGACATCCCCTTTCCCATCATCCAGCCTTTCCTTGTGCCCCTCTTTTGCTTTCATTACTGTTTCATATCTTCTGTCACTCAGAGGATTAATTTGTTAGATTTGCTGCTTGTTTTCCAGGACTAGGATTTCCCCAGGATCCTCTGGGTGGATTCTCATCAGGTCCTGTTGTGCCAGTGAGGGCAGCAGAACAGTCCAGCAGCAGCCCTGGGTTTGCAGCTGGTTTCTGACAGAAAATCTGCTTTTGGGTTATTTCACCTTCTCTGCCCTGGGAGCTGTGGACCAGTGGGGTCTCCTGGAGCAGCAGGAGCAGCTGAGGGAGCAGGGGGGGCTCAGCCTGGAGAAAAGGAGGCTCAGGGGGGACCTTCTCACTCTCTGCAACTCCCTGACAGGAGGAGGGAGCAGGGGGGGGTTCTGCTCCCAGGGAACAAGGGACAGGAGGAGAGGAAATGGCCTCAAGTTGTGTCAGGTTGGACATCAGGGAAAATTTCTTCATGCCCAGGGCAGTGCTGGAGTCTCCATCCCTGGAGGGATTTAAAAGCCATGTGGATGTGGCACTTGGGGACCTGGGTTAGTGGTGGCCTTGGCAGTGCTGGGGAATGGTTGGACTTGGTGATCTTGGAGGGCTTTTTCAACCTTAACAATTCCATGATTCAGTGCTGTGCTCTATCCCAAAGCATTTTAGAATTTAGAAAATTCGTGTTGGCTGGCTGTGAGGTGTCTTGGAAAAGAAAACATGGTTATGTACAAATAATGACACAAGTTTACTGAATTAATTCAGCTGGAGGGTTTCTGGGGAGGGGTGGCTTACCCTGCCTGTCCTGGGATTAGTTCTGTGTTGCATGTGCTTAGTTCAGGGTCAGGATGTCCAGTTCTGAAGACTTATCAGAGGCACAAACACAAGTAGGTTTTATTGCCTTGTGCAGTACCTTTTATTTAAGAAAACAGTTGCAGAGATGCTCACAGTGAGTCTGTCCAGGTTTATCACCATTAGCAGCTGCATTGGATGTGGTTGAACATGGAAAACCACTTTGGAACAGAGTCATAGAATCACAGAAGGGTTGGCAGGAACTTTAAAGATCATCCAGTTCCACCCCCTGCCATGGGCAGGGACACTTTCCACTAGCCCAGGTTGCTCCAAGCCTCATCTAACCTGGCCTTGGACACTTCCAGGGATGGGAATCCACAACCTCTCTGGGCAATGAGAATTGCAGGATGCAGCAAGAGGTCATGTATTCCTGGATGGTCTAATTCTCTGGATGTGTGCCTTCCCTCTCCAGGCAAAAGAAGCTGGTGCTGATGACACCCTTGACATATCCAGATGTGAACTCTCAGAGGTATGTTCTCTGCAGCTTCCAGCATTAAGTCACAGCTCTGATCCTTCTGTCAGATGTGGTGCCATGTCTGTGAGCCTCCAGACAGCAGCTGTTACTGGGCCACCTCTTCCTCTGTCTCCTCACCTCTGGCTTTCAGCTGGGGGCTTCTTCCCCATTTTTGGTGGGAGTTTGCCTGTCCTGTCTGATGCTTCAACACCATTTCTGTCCTGGGAATCCTTTTGCATTTGACAGGGTGAGAAGGGCAGAGTGGCCTCATACCCTCCCCCAGTACCTTGGTAGGACCCCAGTTTGGGACCTCATGGCCTAATTTTGCTGGTCCTGAGGGAATTTGTTTGCCAGAGGCTGACTTTTTCTAATCTTAGAGCTGCACAGTCTGCCACCCATGGTTATTTTTCTGTATCAGTGAAAATCCCAGCTGGCTAAGGATGGAAATCTCACTTCCAGCTTGGCTTCTTTTGTGGCAATGGGGAACAGTCTGTCTGCTGTGTGTGGGTGGGCAGTGACTGAGTGCCAGGCACTCACAGCACACACAGCTTTCCCTGCTGGCAGCCAGGCCAGAAGCCCATTTCTATTTCACTTCCAATTTTTATTCATTATCTCATGTTTCTAAAACGTTGGCAGCCTTTTGGAAGGGGAGAGCTTTGCCAAGCAACTTAATGGGTGTCATGCTGCTCTTTGTGGGGAGAGCTCTCCTGCTGGAGAGGAGAGTTGTCTGCTCTGCAATGGGAAATGGCTTTGCTGAGACTCCAGGGTGTTTTGTCCCAAGCTCAGAAGCCAACAGCACCTTGTGTGCAGGTTTGCAGGCTATGGGACAGTCTGGCAGCCTCTCTGGGTGTAGCAGGGCCAGAGGATCCACCCACCAGCTCCACTCGTGGCTGCAGCTGCTCTGGGATCCCCAGCAGCTCCTTTTGGATTGGTACCATAAACCCCTGCTTTGCTGTTTCATTCTATCCTTTGCTGTTTCAATAAATGAAGTGAAACATCAGTTTTGTCTTAAAATGAACCGTGGGCAGGAGTTTGGCTGGTGCTGCTCAGCTGTGCCTGGCAGGGGCTGGGCTGGCACCTCCCTTTTGTCCCTGCCCCTCTCCTGCAGAGCCTGGCACACCAGGGACACTCAGTCCTGCCCTGTGCTCACCTTCCTCTTTCAGCCCAAGAGTGGTTTTGAGGTTGCAGAACCACAGAATGTATTTATGTGATGACTAACTGAACGTTTATCTGAACTCTTGAGTCATCAAATATTAAAGCACGCAAGGCTGGAACTCCTGCCCAAGCCTCAGCCTGTTCTGTGACACTGCTGTGTCATGGAGAGCCATTGGAAGCTTAAATGGAAGTTATCTGGGAAGTACTGGCATCCTGGGCCAAAGTCAGGGCCCAGTAATTTTAAGTATCACTTGTGCTTTCACTAAAGTTATTCACACTTTACAGGTGGGCACTGCAGAAGTGCTTAAGAGAAAAGTCTGACCTGGTGTTTTTTAATTGTTTTTAGGTTCCTTATGGGGCCTTTGCCACTTGTAAAGTCTTGCAAAAAAAGGTAATGTTGCAATCAGAAATTACTAAATAATTCTGTTATTATGATTGGGTATTGCTGTAGTGTTGGAAATGACTGCGTGTGATTGTTTTATGTTGCTGCACAAGAAGTTTGCTTGTAATGAATTTGTCCAACTGTGTGATACCACACAGAGAGCAGTTTGGGTCAGGATAATCCTGTCTGTGTTGTCCAGAGCTGGCTCCTGGCAGGAGAGGTGGTGGTTGTTCCTGTCTTAGCCTGTCTGATGGTATTTCTCATACAAGGAACAAGGCTCTGGTTTAGATCTCATATAAAATGTTTGAACTTTTCTGACAAATCATTTCCTATTTGATTATTGTCTATGATACTGAATAAGATATTGAGCTCTCACCCAGCCTCCACAGTTACATCTCAGCAAATGTGCTTGTTCTGGACAGCAGTGTCCCTTGTGCTTATGTGCCCGTGGGGTTTTTTCCCCCCCAGGTGCTGATTATTCACACAAATAATCTGACATCTTTAGTTCCAAAGTCCTGCAGCCTCCTGAGTCTCATCACTGTGAAGGTAACTGTGATCCTTAACACTTAATCTGCAGCCTGTTTTCCGTGCATTCCAGTGCTTTAAAACACACCGGCCCAAATAAATCCCTTCTGGATGGAGGGTTTGGCCAAGGATCAGTCCCAAGGTGTGAAACCTGCCCTTTCCAGGTAGAGAGACAGCAGTCACTGAGTGGTTTGTGTTCCCAGGACTCATTTATCCTATTCCAAATCCCACAGTTCCCCCCCTCAGCAGCCTCTCAGGCAGAGCTGAGTGTGTTGTGGGGTAGATCCATCTCTCTCCTGCCCTGATGGATCACTGGGATGTGAAGGAAGCTGGGATGGGTGATGGGGTGTGACAGGGCTGTGTCACAGTACCTGTCAGACAGGTGCTGAGGGCTCTCAGCTCCACCACCCTCTGTGATTCCCCAGGAGGCAGAGTCATTCCAGCAGCTCCTCTCCCCATGGAGGGAGGGAGGACTGCAGGCCTGGTCCTGCCCTCTCCCTGTGCTGGTGTTGGAGCAGTTCAGCTCATTGATCCTGCAGAAATTCCTTCTGGCAGGCTGGTTCCCCGGGGTCATTTATCCAGTTGGCTCATCCAGTTTTGTGGAACAGCCCCCTCAGTGTCACTGCCCTCCCTTGAGTTTCCAGAAGACCCCCAGGAATTAAGTGCCCATGTCTCCTGGAAAACTCGAGCTGCTTTTCAAAGCCCCACTGGAAGCAAAGTAATTTTCATTGCTAGATAATGCAGGAGCTTTCATTCTGGCACCACGACTTCTGTTCCCAGCCTTGTTTGCTGAAATCATCTCCCCTTCCAGGTTCTGGACCTTCATGACAACCAGCTGACGTCGCTTCCTGCTGACATTGGTCAGCTCACAGCTCTTCAGGTAAAAGATTGGCAGCTGCATCCCAAGTGTGGCTCAGGGCATGTTTTGGGACAGCAGGGATATGGGGTTGCTGCTCTTTGGTTTATAATTAACAACAACTTAAATGATGGTGCCGTGTTGTCAGATCTATCTCATCATTGCTGGATCTATCACAGAAACTTGACTGTTGCTGTTGAACTGGCTTGTTGGAGGGAGAGCAGGAAAAGAGCAGGAGAGTAGCAGGAAAAGAGCAGGAGAAGAGCAGGAAAAGAGCAGGAGAAGGACAGGAAAGAGCAGGAGAAAGGCAGGAGAAGAGCAGTGGGTTCTGGAGTCCCAGCTTGGTGCAAGGCCTGTCAGCCCAGGTGGCTCACACTGCCAAGCAGATGCTCTGAGCAAGCAGAGCTGGAGCTTCCAGTCTCACTGATTTCCCAAAATATGCAGGTTTTGCCATTCTCCCTGGTGTGGTTGTGTTGAGGACTCAGAGCAGTGTGTCTCAGTGCACAGTGAGGGTCCCTGTGCTTGGGGGGCAGCTTGAAGTTCAGTCCCTGCTCCCCTGTGGGAGCTGGAGTTGGGGAGTGCTGCCCTGGACACTCCCAGTTCCTGCACCTGGATTCAGCACCAGATGGTGGTGGTGAAGGGTCTCACTGCCTTTGGTAGCCTGACAAACCCTGTATCCAGGGTTTGTGAACAAAGCATTTTTTTAACCCATAAAGTGTTGTCTAAAACCAATTTCAAGTTGTCCTAGGGCTGAGAGTAGTCCCAGGTGTGTGTAGAAGAGCTGAGACTTGTCTGAAGAATATCTTGAATGTCTTTTCTGTTAATACCTTAGGTCCTAAACCTTGAAAGGAATCTTTTAAAAAGCCTCCCACAATCTATAGGAGACCTTGCCCAGCTCCAGCTCCTCAATGTGAAAGGTATGGCTCGGGATTCCAGCAGTGCTCTGGGCAAGGCACCAGTTCCTATCTGGGTCGTGTTGAGCTGCAGTAGCAATTATTCCTTTCAGCCACCACATGTTTTACACTCTGATTGCTGAGGAAGGACACAAGGGTTGAATTCAAACAGTTCACAAGGCAGGAGGAATCACGTAGGCAGAAGATAGCTCAGCCTTGGTCTGTAGGATGTTTTCATCCATTCTCTTCTCAAAGGAGGGGTGGTTGGGTCATCCCAACCCAATCCCAGCAGCTCAGAGCTCCCTGGAGTTCCTGTATGTAGGCAGAGTTTCAGAGCCCTGGGTGCCTCATTCCTGCAATCAGGAATTTTGGGAGGGCTGGAGACACATATTTTCCTCCAGGAGCAGGGCCCCCCCTCGAGCTGGGAGTGCTGTGTGGGCCCTGCAAGAGGAGTTTGTCCCCCTTTGGATTTTGATTTAGACCAACCTAATCTGCACTCTGTGCAGATTCAAGTGTAAGAAAAGCAGCAGGTTTTGGCAGAAGCCCTTTGGTAGAGCAAGCAGAGCAGTCAGCTGGATAAACTGAATTACAGCTGAGTCCACCAACACCTGGAGCTGAGTCCTGTGAGCCTGTGCAGCCCACCAGGTTTGCACAGCCCTAGCACAAAGGCCACACCTCTTTTCCAGACTACTGGGCATTTTCCAGCTATGCTGTGCCATAAATTTGGGAGAAAAAGACTTTGTTACAGGGAGCTGTTGCTGAAGCAGGGAGGGAAATGAAGGGGGAGGAACTTGGAAGGGCAGCTCAGGTCATTGCAGCACCTGAGCTCTGAGCCCTGGCTGTGCAGTCCCACACTCAGTCCCCTTCCTCCCACCTCTGGGACTTGCACCAAAGGGGAGAAGACTCCATATTACAAATATTCTCCTGATAAAGAGCACAGACCCAGCCTGCAGCATGTCCTCAGCCGAGGAGGTTGTTTTGGTATGAGCTGGGGCTGTGTGCTAGGGCTGTGTGCAAGTAGATTTGGATCCCCATTTGCCTTGGTGGGCAGTGGCAGCCTTTGGAGTCCTTGTGTGACCTGTGAGAGCCCCTTTAGGGTCCCTGTGTGACCCATGACAGCCC